TATTTAATTTTCAATCAAAATATAAAGTTTTCTAATGTATTCATCAGTATTTTAAGTGAAAAATGAAAAAGTGTTTTGCATCTCAGTTTGTATAAATTAAAAAAATTAACAAGGTATTTGAGATCCACCAGTAATGTTTTTTGGTTTATTTCTACAGAATTAAAAGAAAACAAAGAAATAGCAAGTTAAAAAGCTTTCCTTCTCCAAAGCCAAATACAATAAAATCTTGAAGCTGAATAATTAATTAAAAGGACAACACCAAATTTTCTATTTTAAAGTAATCACAAACAATAGGAAATAGAATCTAAGTAGAAACTAGCATTATTATATTAATATAGTCCAAAGAAAAATATTTTTAATCCCTTATTTTTGATGGAGTGTGTCTAGCAGAGATAGAAAAAAACCTGTTGTAAATTTAAAGTCAAGTTAGTTACACTCTCACCAGTCTATACTAATTTTGATAAACCTCTGCCCCCTCTCAATTCCAAAATACCTAATATCACAGAAGTATGACAGCCACTTATTTACAGGGTTTTTTTCAGCACTGTGAAAGTCACATTTATCTTTTTACACATGTTTCTGCTAATGTCCTAAACTTGGGTTCCAGCTGATCTAAGAAGTCAAGTGCCTCTTCTTCATGCTGGTCACTGCAGCAGCCTACAGAGCCAGCCAAGGATCCTTTTCCTTCATAGTTATATGAGAGGAGATAATCTTCAGAGTGCTTCTGTTCTTCATCCTGTCTGCATAGGTGCACCTTCTGCATAGGAAAAGAACACATCTTATTATTTTCTTAAATTGTTATCCTAAACATATTGCATAAAAATAATTTCTTTTTGATTTACCTTTCATTGATTAATTTTTAATCAGAGTGTGTCCTCTAATGGATTCCTACATACAAAAAACGCACATGATTGATTGGTCTATATCATTAAGACTACAAAATATAAGTATTTAATAAAGAAATAATTTCTACTAATCATGTATGTAACAATAAAAGAGGAAGAACCTGTTTAAATAACCTGTCAAGCAACTCCACTCAAAATTAAAAGACTGATTTACACATAAGCAGTTAGGCAAGTAGTGAGAGTTTCTGATCTCCAAAACATGGAGCAGCTACATTTCTAATGCTGTACATTCATTCCTGCAACATTGCTAAGGTAACTATCAGGTTTAAATTAGTACAAAGCCAGCAGTTCGAATAAAGGCAAACAGACATTGTCAGAAAAAAAGACAAAAAAGCTTGAGTAAATTAAGTCTTCTAAATGAAAAATAGCATAATGCCCATAGTTTAAGCCAAGAAAAGAAAGTTATTTACGCTTATGTCTAAAATAAGAAAGGGATGACTTTTTGAAAGGACAATATTCCAAACGGGATGCAGGGGAGCAAAGGAGAGGAAAACCAAAACAAAACCAACAGAAAACCACCCTTCTAGTACAAATACATATCTTCATTGAAATGTATGTTTCTACTGACCATAGCCTACACTCAAAAAAACCAAACCAAAACAAAAAAATAACCAAAACACCAAACTATTTGGAAATACTTACTTCACCTAAACGAGGATGTGTGAAATTATGCCATTCTGAGTAGGAATATCTACATGTATCCATCATAGTCTGTCCTCCTCCTTCTTTAACTGACCCCAGAGTCTGATGTCCACCTCCCTTGACTGATTCCAAGGTATGCCCTCTTCCTTTAGTCATTTCAAATGTTTGTTGATCTCCTGTTTTTATTCCATATCCTCCTTGATCACACGTATTCTGTAGAGGAATTATATTGTGATCCTAAAAAAAGATGCAGCAGTGGGGATACCTTTACTTTTTTAATTCAAAAGATGAAATGGCAATCAGGAACTGTCAATACTGAGAACTGGGAAGTCTCTACCCTTTTTGAACAAAAAGCTGTACTTAGTTCTTAGTACATAAGGATCAGTGAGCAGTCTTTGGAAAGGATACTATCACAAGGAGTAGAAAAAGAATCTGCATTTAAATATGATATGAGATACAAATACTGAATCTTTATCCCAATGAAAGCTGTACTATAATCCATCTGCTAGTTTCTTAAGTTAACATGTAAAAATAATTGGTTTTCAAAGTCAACAGCCTGTAACACATTAGGCCAGATATAGAGTCATATGCATAAGTTTCATCCTGTTTCTTCACCCATTGAGTTTGCATAGCGAGTTAAATATGGAAAAACTAGGATGAGATCACAAATTAAAACTACATTATCAGTTTATAATGCTACCACATTATACTTCATAGGCAACAAGAAGTTTGATATTTGTCACCATTAGGATTTTTTCCAAGGTGAAGTAAACTGAATGCTTTTTAAACTAATCTTTTCTTTGGGGAAGGCAAAGTCAGGGGGTGAGCAACAGAAG